CTGCCCCGCCGCCCGCAGCTGCGTCCCGCCCTGGTCTCTGTAGGTCGGAATGTCCTGGGCCCCTCCTCGCCACACGCGCGCTGGGGGACGCGTCTACCTCGTAGCTCTCGTGCCGTATGGATTTTGAGCACACTGATCATATTTTGGGGACTCCTGCTTCTCCACCTGCCGTCTCAGGCATTTCGCACTAGGCCCTCTTAGGGCACACATCAGGCCCTCTCCCCAAGCCTGCCCCCTCCTCCGCCTGCCCGGCGCTGGGATGGCAGCTCCATCCTCCTGGCTGTGCGCTCGGAGCCTCGCAGTCGTCTTGGATTCCTGTTTCTTCACACTCCTCTTTCTCAGCGCTCCACGCGTTGAGTCCCTAGGCACTGCCGCCAGTCACAGCAGACACAACCCAAGCCGCCCTCACCTCCTTCACCCTGCCACGCTGGGCCAAGCCTGGGACATTACCGTTTCCCCTCCTCTCCCGCCTCTCCGGCTTTGCGCGTCGCCGCCTGGTTTCCCCTGGTTTCCTGAGGCTGCTGTAAGAAAGTGCCACAGACCGCGTGGCTTAAAACAACAGAGGTTTATTCTCAAAGTTCTGTAGACAGAGTCTCTCTCTGTCACCCAGGCTGGGGTACAGTGGCATTCTTAGAGCTCACTGTCACCTCAAACTCCTGGGCTCAAGTGATCCTCCTTCCTCAGCCTCCCGAGTAGCTAGGACTACAGACATGTGCCACTGTACCTGACTAATTGTCTTTTTTGTAGAGATGAGGGTCTCACTATTTTGCCCAGGCTGTTCTTGAACTCCTGGCCTCAAGTGATGATCCTCCTTCCCTAATGTTGGATTAAGGGCCCACCCTACTCCAGTATAACCTTGTCTGAAATTACATCTTTTTTTTTTTTTTTTTGACGAAGGCTTGCTCTGTGGTCCAGGCTGGAGTGCAATGGCGTGGTCCCGGCTCACTGCAACCTCTGCCTCCTGGGTTCAAGCAGTTCTGCCTCAGCCTCCCGAGTAGCTGGGATTACAGGTGCAAGCCATCACACCGGGCTAATTTTTGTATTTTTAGTAGAGCTGAGGTTTCATTATGTTGGCCAGGCTGATCTCGAACTTCTGACCTCATGATCTGCCCGCCTCTGCCTCCCAAAGGGAAGCAAGTCCCTCTGGAAGTAAAGAATCTTTATGTTGATCTTTATTCTAAAATGCTGGGATTATAGGCGTGATCTGCCGTGCCCGGCCTAAATTACGTCTTAATTACATCTGCAGAGACCCTGTTTCCAAACAAGGTCACATTCACAGGTACCCAGAGGTTAGGACTTCAGTGTATTTTTTGCAGGGACACAATTCAAGCCACAACACTGCCTTGTAACCAGCGCAACAGAATGATAGTTTTAAGACTTAAGTTGGATATTTTCATTTCTCTGCTCAAAACCTTTCACGAGGTGAACTCAGAGCACCCAAGGACTCCAGTGACCTTCAGGCTCTGTTGCCTCTTAGGGCTCCTATGTGTTCTCCAGCTTGGCAATGCTGGTCTCCCAGTCGCGTTAGCTCCCTCTCTCAGTCGTTGAGTGTTTCACGGTGAGGTTTGTGTGCTTGCCCAGGGTGAGCGTGTGTATCTCTAGCTCCTGATGCACCACTCTCTAAGTCCCTGTGGAATGAATGAGTGAGGCCCCCTCAGCGAGACTCTTCTGAAGCCAGTGAGGCAGTGATGACTGAGGGTGCTGGGGGCGGGAAGTCCTGGGCGAGCCCTTTCGTTGTGCACAACAGCACCCGGAAAGACCTCAGGAAGGGGATGGCATCTGGATTCCTTTCTTGCTTTTCTTTTCCTTGGTGTTTCCTTTTTTATTTTTTCTTTTCTGGAGGGGCCTGGCAGTGGGCCTTTGAGCAGGCGGCAGCAGAAGAGGCCTGGGGGACCAGGGGTGATGGGTGGGGCTGTGTGCTCTGTGCCACCTCGCATTCTTTCCTGATCCCAAGGCTTTGGTCATAGTGGGCAAGGCTTTGAGCACTGGTCAGCTCTGGTGTCACTGCCTTGTGCCCCTTTGTGCAGTGCTGGTTTGGGCTAGTGAGTGTGGAAGAAGTAGGCTCCTCCTGGGGGTGGCTTTGGTCACCCCCTCCCATGGTGGTCACAGCTCCCAGTGGGGTGTGCTTTCTCATCTGGAAAGTGCGCCTCCATCAAGGCCAGGCAGGAGAAGGAACAGGGGACCGATTGAGTGACCTGGCCTGTCGGAAGTCCAGTCCCACTCCCTGGCCACAGTGTGCCTGGATGTTCCTTACAGGGGCAGAGGGCTGAGCCAGCCGGGGAAAAGAGGTACAGGCCATTGCTTAAGGCAGGAAGCCCAAGGTTCCTGTGACCCGTGGGCTGGCCCTCCATCTCCCGTCCACGCAGGTAGAGTCTGTGGAGCTCTTGTACTTTGGTGGCAGGGCTGAGCGGTTGTAATAGAGACTTGGTAACCCCTAAAGCCTGAACTAGTTATTGTCGGGCCCTATCAGGAGTTTTGCCAGCCCACGCGTGGAGAATGGCACCAGTCTGTGAGGTCTCCTCCCTCCCGCTTCCCTAAACTCCCACGTGTAAGACTGTAGAGAACAGACACCATGCAACCCGAGCTGGCCGACCTTGGGTTGAGCAGGGATTTTTGGTGCCCAGAGAGGCTGCAGGGCTAGTGACACTAAGTCCTACCAGCTTGAGGGAAGCTGGCCTGGGACCTAGGCCCCTGCCTGCTCGGGGATTCTTGG